TCAGCTATTTTCCCTGAACAAGCTATTCACAAAAAAGATCCTCTTTGGATCAGTTACAGCTTAAATGGAAGAGACCTTACCAGGTGTTACTGAGTACGACTACCTCAGTAAAATTAGGATTAAACTTCTGCCCCTTCAGTCCTCACAGGTGAACTTACATCAAGACTGCTGTGCCTTAAGGCAGACATGCTGCACCTGCCTCTCTTCCTCTCTGAGAAATAATATTGTCGCTAAAAAAACTCCTAATGTGCTCTTCTAGCATAATCCTCTATACACAAGCTAGATGGCTTTATAAACTGTCACCACCCTGTATCTGGGAGTCTGTAAGATATGCTTTTTTTCATCTTAAAGGGGAACTCTACTTGTGATTTGCCTTATTCCAGTTTTGTTCACACTAATCAACAAACTTATATGTTCCATAGCTCGACTTCTGGCAGTAACTGGCCATGCAGGAGACACAGACATTGGCAGTGACCAAGACTTCCCCAGCCAGCTTTCAAAACAAGTTTGTTAGATGATATAGGCAGAGACTTCCAGACCCATAACAAGCAGGGCCTGCACTATGTCCCTCATAAGCAGGAAGCAGCTATAAAAGATGTGATGATTCTACATCCTTCAACACTCCTTAGGTTTAACGGAATGGGATCTCTAAAGGGGGAATGATGTAGGCAGATATATAGGATCAGGTTTGTGAGCTGGAAGACCATGCCTTCACCAAATCCCCCTATGTGATCTCATGCCCCTACCTTACCACAGGGCTCACCCTAAAACACGGAGGGGGGGTGAATGTGGGTGATCCCATGCGACTGCTTCTCCTGCCCATGCAAGAGGTTGGGAGGGACCCCACTGCCTGGATGCTGGCAGGCAGCAGGAGCTCCAGGCACATTTCCCCCATTTCCCCTTCCTGTTGGGAGCCTTGTGGCTGTGCTTTTATGATTTATAAACATAGCCAATAAGCAACTCTCATATTCCAGATGTGCGCTGGTTGCACAAAGGGGCCTATGTGGCCTACGTGACCTATAAATTGATTGGTTAGGGGTCTTCTGGCATGCTGCCCCTTCCGCCCTATAGAATTACTGCTACTGCCCCAGGTTTTTTTCTTCCCCTCTTACCCTATAAAAGTCTGTGCCTGATTGCTAATAAATGGACACACTCATCAGGCTTGTCTATGGTGTTTCTTGTCAAGAGACACCATTGCTCTTCCAGCCTGACATCTAAGGGTCTCACACAAAGAAACCTTGTCTCTTATAACCCACTGTTCATTCAGGAGCATGTTGTTCAGTCTCCATCTGTTTGCATATGTTCTAGAGATTCCTGAGTTTCTGATTTCCAGCTTCATTCCATTGTAGAGTGAGAACATGTATGGTATGATTTTGATTTTTTTGAATTTGCTGAGATTTGTTTATGGCTTAGTATGTGGTCAATCCTAGAGAAAGTTCCATGTACTGGAGAGAAGAATGTATATTTTGCAACTGTAGGATGGAAAGTTCTATAGGTATCTCTTAGGTCCATTTGGTTTATAGTGTCGATTAACTCCATTTCATTGATGATATTGATGATTTTCTGTCTTCTTGATCTGTTCATTGCTGAAAGTGGGGTATTAATGTCCCTATTACTATTATATTTGCATCTCTTTCTCCTTTTAGGTCCCTTAGCCTTTCTTTTAAATAGTCAGGTGCCCTGTAATTAGGTGTATATACACTTATAGTAGTTACATCTTCCTGTTGAGTTGATATCTTAATCATTACATAGTGCCCTTCTTTTTCTCTTTTTAACAGTTTTTGTGTTAAAGTCTATTTTGTCTGATATTAGTATGGCTACACCAGCTCTTTTTTTATTTCTGTTAGCATGTACTTTTGTTTTCCATCCTTTCACTTTCAGTCTGCATGCATCTTTGTTGGTGAGATGTATTTCTTGTAGGCAGCAGATAGATGGGTTTTGTTTTCTAATCCATTCAGCCAGTATGTGTCTTTTAACTGGAGAGTTGAGACCATTTACATTCAAGGTGACTATTGATAAGTCATGACTATGCCCTGCCATTCTTTCATAAATTTCACTATTTTTTTTTTACTTTGGGTTTCCTTTGTACTTTCTCAAGGAGATTTTCTTCTTTTACTTTCTTTTGTAATGATGACCATGTTTCTGTGTTTCTGTGGGCAGCACATCCTTAAGCATATTTTGCAGGGCTGGCAGTGACAAATTATTTCATTTTCTGTTTGTTATGGAAAGTCTTTATTTCACCTTCATTCTTAAATGAGAGCTTTTGCAGAGTATAGTATTCTGGGTTGACAGGTTTTTTCTCTTATGACTTGGACTGCATCTCACCATTCTCTCCTAGCCTGTAGGGTTTCTGATGAGAAGACTACTCTTAGGCTAATTGGAGATCCTCTGAAAGTAATTTGGCATTTCTCTCGTGCAAATTTTAAAATATTTTCTTTATGTTTTACTTTGGTGAGTGATAACAGTGTGCAGTGGAGAAGATCTTTTCTGGTCATGTCCTGCACTTGGATGTCCCTTTCTTTCTACAAATTAGGGAAGATTTCTGTTATTTCACTCAAAAGGCCTCCTAATCCTTTCTCTCTTTTCATGCTTTCGGGAACTCTTAGAACCCATATGTTGGGTTGTTTGATAGTATCCTGAATATTTCCAACAGTGCTTTTTTTTTTTTTTCTAATTTCTTCTTCTTGTGTTTTGTCTGTGTAATCTCCTGTGCTTTGCCTTCTGAGTCAGATATTCTTTCTTCTGCTTCACCAATTTTGTTGTTAAGGCTTTTCACTGCATTTTTTATTTTTTCTATTCAATTCTTCATTTCCAAGATGTCCTTTTGATTTTTCTTTAAGATATCAATTCATGGGAAGAAATTTTGTTTCACGCCATATTCAGATTTCATTAATTTGTGCATTTACTTCTGATTACTTCTAAGTAATCCTATGATCAGTTTTTTGAATTCCATTTTTGGCATTTCTTGAATCTCATCATCTTCATAATCTAGTATTGAAGTGCTGTGTTCTTTGGGGGTCATCATGTTGTCTTCCTTATGCTTGTTTCTTGAATTGGTGTGTTTGTTATTCTGCTTTTGTGGAGATACTTGTTGGTTTCTTTTTTGTTTTTTTTTCACTGTGTTGGTTTTTATCTTTGTACTATTCCTCTGCAGGTTAGTGTAGTGTCTGCTTTCAGTGAATACCTAGAGATGCATAGTAGGTGTGGCCAGGAGCTCTCTTCAGTTCTCCAGGGTGTAGGGCATGTCTGAGGTGACACAGCCAGATTTGGTGGGTAAATCTCCCCTTTTTTTATCAGTGGGTAGGTTTGTTCTTGTCTGTTTGCATAGTCACAGCTGAGCTCCTCTTCTCAAAGGAGACCACTGCCTGGGTGCTAGCCTCACTGGGTATTTTATTTGTCTGCTCTGCCACAAGGACCACACAAAGGGTCTGTGCAGTCCTTATTGTAAGCTCAGATTTCCCAGCAGTGTCCCTCACCAGGTAACCAGGGATCCTTGACAGTGTGGAGCCCTAGCAGTGACTGCCCAAAGTCCCAGCCACACCTTGAGTCCTCCCCCGCAGCTTCAGTGTTTTCACAGCCCCAGTACACAAGCTTCCTACAGACAGGAGCACCCAGCCCCCTGTCTGTTCTCCCCACCAAACCTAGGGGCCTCCGCTTGGCTGGTTGCTTGGCATGGACACAAGCTGGCACAGCTGTTATGTATGTTGAAAATGGAGCCTGCTCTCTATCAGCTTGTTACAGGACGCTGTTGCAGAGTGATCTAGGAAAGCAAAACATGCCTCCCCTTTGTTTTTTCTCCTCTAGTTTGGCAGGTACACTATCCCCCATGGGGCTCCAAGCTGGATTTCCTCTAGGCTCTTCCTGCAGCTTTTTCACCAGTGACTTGGGCTGCTACAGTCTGATCTCACCTCACTCTCCAGCACTGGTGCAGAGGCTCTCGGCTGCTGGGGTCTGAGTTGTGTACGTCCACACCCTCAACGTAGGTCAGCTGTGTCCCTCTAATTTGCATAGAGTTTCCTCTGATGTTTTATCCCTAACTCTTTCCTGAGACTGTACTATTTCCACTTTTTTAAAACTATCTTCTTCTAGACTAGAACAGTAAGCTCTCTCCCTGCCCTGCCATATTAATCCAGTCCTGATAATTTACTTTATATCACAGATTTAACGTTCCACTAAATAAAGCATTCAGCAAATAAAAAAGTAGAAAGAAAATTCTTCCACAGAAATACAGAGGACTATCAACAATTCCAAATCACAAGATGTCAGTTTCACACATATGCATTTTTTTTACTACTCAGTCATAAAAGTAAAGAATGAAACCCTTGCCTTTTGCAACAAAATGGATGCAACTGTAGAGCTATGCTTTGTGAAATAATCCAGGCCCAAAAAGACAGATGTGTGTTTTTTCTGATTTGTAGCAGCTAATATATGGAGTATAAGAATGTTCACTTCTATGACTAATTCCTAACATATTATTCATGAATGGATTTATGATTGTCAGGTCCATTGTATGTATCCTTTGAGATGATCATTTTGTCCTTTATTTTCTTAATGCAGTTCACTACACTATTATAAATTTGTTCACAATTAGTGTGCATTTTTATGGGTTACAGTGCCACATTTCAGTACATGTATATCATGTATACTGATCAAAATAGAGTCATCGGCATTTCCCTCTCTTTGACATTACTTTATGATTGGGGTCTGGGAACTCTTTCTTCAGTTTGTTCATAAAATATATAAAATTACTGTGAACTATGGTTACCCTATTATTTTGTATAATATAGGAACTTATTCCTTCTAACTCTGATGTTTTATGTTGAACCAAATTTGCATTCTTGGATTTAATAGTCTTGATCATATCATAATACTTTTTTATATAGTACTCAATTTGTGTTGCCAAAAACAAATTTTGCCAAAAGTTCCTTGGGGATTTTTGCTTCTGTGTTCTCAAGACTTACTGGTTTGTTATTCTCCTTTCTTGCAATATCTTTGTCTAGGTATGGCATCAGAGCCAGCTGGCATTTATAACTGTCCTCCCAACTTCACGTGATTGTGGAGACCTCAGTTTGGGTCATCATCTACATTTGGACTCTTCACCCAGAGATACTGTGAGAAATACATGTGGACATGAGTGATTAGTGAGTGTGCACATTTGTGTTTGTGTCTACAAGCCACACAGTTATGGAGCAATTTGTTATGCAGCACTAAACCAGCAATACGTATGACATTCAACAAACTCTGGTGTTCTGTATTACAACCATGAACAGATAAATAATATGATTAGAAAACATAGTAAAATATGAATAAAGTCCAGCTCAGTTAATAATTTGGTAATACTGTCAATTTCCTTTTCATAAATTATCTGTAGTTATGTAAATTATTAATGTTATAGGAAGCCGGAATTCATATAAAATTTTCTGTAATGTAGGTGTCCTAAGTAGGTTTTTACCTCTTTGAATTCAGATTTTTCTTATGTTTGTATGTGGGTTTGTTTGTTTGTTTGGATTGGTGGGTGGGGGAGCGGGGCTGGGCCTGAGAAGTAAATTGACATGAGACAGATCAGGAGGTAAAAAGAGTACAATTTCATGAATTTATTTAGGATAAGATTTATATGGCACAGGAATGTTCGAGAAGAAATACACAAGCACAGAAGTAGTTTGTCAAGCCTTTTATAATGAATTGGGCAATAAATAAATGTGTGAAAAAAGCAACTAAATTATATCAGGAGACTTGGAAGCTAAGAGTTACTCTGTTGGGGGGTCTGCCTCTTTTGTAGCCCTCCTCCCAGCTGTTTTATTAGGAGGTTTCTGACTTAAGTAAATCTTGCTTTTCTCTCTTCCTTATCCACAGAGAAATCTTCTTTCACATGAGACAAAGAACTGAAGTTGTCTTTTCTCCACCACTGTTTTAGCTGTAACATTTTTGGTGCCATGACTCAGATCGGACTCCAACATGACCAGGATCCAGTTCGAATTCAACTCTAGCCAGCATCAGATCGCCTCACTGGACAGGTAAGCACGTGGACTGCTCTCGCTTCTGTCTTCCAGAGAGATTCACTCTCTTCCATGTTAACTCTCTCACCTTCTCAAGAACACTGGGTCCGTGTCCTCCAGTTAAAAGTGGTTCGCATGGCTTCAGGCCTTAAGACTCAGGAGCTAGGCTTACTGATGAGGCCAGAAATCCCCTGGAGCTGAGACTGTTCTCACCTCTCTTTCTTGTGTAGATCGGCCCTTCATGAAGGATGGGAAAATGCCCTGAGGTGACTGAAAAACTCTGGCTGGAGCACTCTGTGGTGTATTCTGAAACTCTCTTGGCTGGACCCCAGTGCCAGAAAAGCCTGTGTGGGCACTGGGCTGTGAAGCACTCTCCTCCCTCTTGTGTAGATCTGCCCTTTGAGAGAAACTGGAAGTGTTAGGCAGGAAGTTAGTTATGAGCTTATGTGTGTGTGACAAAGGCCTCCGGAGAAGACTTCTACGTCCAGCATATGCATCTACATCTCAAAGTTATCCCGATAATGCTTCAGGGGCAGCCCAGTGTTCGCATCCTGCCCTGCCCTCTTCTACCTGATAACCTGCCAGGCCCCGATCCTGCCCCTTCTGCCTGACAAATCTTCCACAATCTCCCATATGCAGCCCAGTATCTGCATTTCAAACACCCTGCTCCGGATCCCCATTCTCTAGGGGGTCCTGCTCACCCTTCCTCTGAATCCAGGATGGCGCCAGCTAGGTTTCCTCCTGTCTGATACCTTCAAGAAAAAACTCAGATAGGAGCTTCTTAGTATTTACAGCTGTAAAATCCTTTGTTTCAGAAGAAAATGTGTGAAGACAGAGACTCATCTCCTTAAAAACCCCCGGCCTCAACCGGACTGCGAGCTCAGCCCTCTGCCTCTCTGCTGAGCCTGGCGTGGTCAGGTGTAATCTCTCTACTCAATCATGTAACCTCGCTCCTCCCCCCACCCCAGTCTCTCAGGCTCTGTCTGGAGGGGTGCCCATCCATCCTTATGGATGTCCCTTCCCTAATAAACCTTGCTATTTTACCTCCCACTACTCTCTGTCTCACGCCTGAATTCTTTCTTGTGCGAAGACAAGAACCCTGCAATTTCTCCAGTAACAGAAGAAGGCCTTGAGATGGTGGATCCTGGCTTGGACTACACTCCAGTGCTTCCAGAAGGTCTCTTGGCAGGACATCAGACCCGGACAGCTGGTGTCGGGCTGGGAAGTTATTTCCTGCAGGGAGCAGCACTATTGAGACTGGGCGCAGTCTGGAACATTGACTACTTACCTTGTTCCAGACTTGAGTACCTGTCCCCAGCTCTTTTGGAGTCTTCACAAGCTGTAACTCTAGAGGCTCCACCATTTTTAGTTTTTTTTTTCTCAGCTCTGGGAATATTGATCCAGTCCAACTCAGTTTCCTTTTGTGGGGATTGGCCTGTTGGCACAAGACTGGGAGGAGTAACTTTGAATTCAGGCCACAGCCACCCTCTGGTGTTTTTCAAAGACTCCACCAAACTTTGACAGCTGACAGGGTGTCGGGCTGATCAGTGTTGGAGATCAGTTTGTCAGTGAGACATGGGCTCTGGGCTCCATGCCTCAGTGAATTGTTCCTCTACCCAAGATCCTAACAAAAGCTCTCTCTGCTCTTCTAATTACTTTTCCTCATTTCCTAAAAACTCTAATTCCTGGCCCCATTAGCTAGTATTTCCTGGATATCTCATTAGTATTAGGTCAGCATTTAATTATCTCTTTTATAGACAGGCAGCTTTTCCATCTAGACTCCCATTAACTATAGATCCTAACATGGACTGAACATGTATAGGCAGATCATCCAGCATGTTCTCCGGTATTGCCTTCCTTCTCAGGTCACTCCCTCTCTTGGGTCCAACTCTGTTATGTCCTTTCTAAATGCTCTCAATATTCTCCTTGCCTTTCCAGATATCAATCTATATATTTGAACCTTCATCCCTAACTCCTCGGGGAGCCCAGGAATTAAGAAATAGCTGCCCGGCTCTTTGCTATCACTTTCCAAAAAACACCTACTTTCTTTCACCACCCTAGTTCAATGATTGGCTTTCTGTGCATTGAGTGAGCAGACCTAGTTTGGAGGTTCTACAGCAATGTCTCTGACCAGTTTTAGGTGCTGTTTGGTCATAATATTTTCTTACTAAACTGTAGAAGTCTCTCTGTCCACCATTTTAAGATTTTTTCTGTTCTCCATTTGTCAGTATATGCCTTGGTAAACTATAGTGCTCTGCAGTCACCACTGGCTAAAAAGTATAAAGATCTATGAAACTCTGCTATACTTCCTAAGACACTACCAACCATTGTCATCATAATCATGACTATTTAAAATTTTTGTGATCCATAATATGATTCTCAAAAATATTTATGTCTGTTAACAAAGCATTGTTAGTACTATTCTTAAATGTCTTGATTTCTAGGCTAAATATTTTCCTGAGACTCCTAGAGTATGCAGCACTTAGGTAAAGTAACTTCATTTATTCAATATTCAAAAAAAACTGCTTTGACATTTTCAAAATTCAAAAACTGCTTTATGTATTTAAATGAAACTGTCCTGATGAGTGCATGCTGCTATCACATGCTAATCATTAGCAATCAAGGTTTTCTCTTTTCTAACTGTCCTGTGTAACAAAGTTTTCTGTATCTCAGGGATGTTTCGTGCATTTTTTTCTGTTGCCTTTATTGAGTTTAATTGCTTTGAATTTCAATCATAAGGAATTAGGTTTATCTGATTAGATCCGGCCCACAAGTTTGGTTAAAATGCTCAGGTCTAACTCACTTTGACCAGATAGTTTAAACCTGATGTAAAATTCTCTTATATCTAAAGCTCCAAAAATGTCTTTGACATTGAGGTTTTCAGCTGGATCCCTGGAACTCTCACAACATATGACTCTCAATTGGGAGAGATAGTAATTGCCTTACCTGCCTTATGCTCTGTGTTATCCAGGACTAAACTACTAGAATCCATCAAACTCGAGGCATTATTTCAGTGTCCCTGAAGATATCTGCATTCTATCTGGGACCCTTAGATCCAACCCTCAAAAGAATGCTCTGCTGCTTTCTCTCATTTTCAGCATTAAGCAGCCAGAACAGTCGTCATCCCATACCCCTAACAGAAGTTAGGACCCATTTTCCAAGGGGAGAGAATGCACGGAGTCAGATGGGACAGTAGACAGATTGGTCCCAATGGAAAATGAGAAAAGGTAGTCCCTCTAAGAGGCTATAAAATGCTTGCTTCCTACAAAAGTTACCTTTAGCAAGATCAAAGTGCCTATCCCACTCCTTGAGAACTTCCAGTCTTATCATGAGAATAGCAAGGGAGTGGTATTTTCACGCTTCTGCTGGTTATTTTGTCTTATCATGAGCAAGCTAAACAAGACAGGCAAGATTACAAACCAACATTATTGATGAGTTTTGTCCCCATCTTCTACCAATTGTTAGTTGCTATTTTTTTTTCCCAAAAAAATATGCTTTAAAGATTCAGAACCTCATAGTTCAGGGAGTCTGCCCCTCTTGAAGCCCCACTACAAGACACTTAAGGAGGTTTCTGACTTAAATAAATCCTACTTTTCTCTTTGGAAAAAAAAAAAAAAGCTACTCTATCAAGTTCTGTACACAGTTATCTCCTTGCCTGTCTATCCTTGATAATAAGAACCTTCAAGTATGGGGAGGTGGGCAACAATCCTATCTTCTGTTTTTATTTTTTCCCAGAAGTTCAAAAATTCTGCTTTTATTACTAAAAGCATCTGGATTGGCCGGCGCCGCGGCTCACTAGGCTAATCCTCTGCCTTGCGACGCTGGCACACTGGATTCTAGTCCTGGTCGGGGCGCCAGATTCTGTCCCAGTTGCCCCTCTTCCAGGCCAGCTCTCTGCTGTGGCCAGGGAGTGCAGTGGAGGATGGCCCAAGTGCTTGGGCCCTGCACCCCATGGGAGACCAGGAGAAGTACCTGGCTCCTGCCATTGGATCAGCGCGGTGCGCCAGCCATGGCAGCCATTGGAGGGTGAACCAACGGCAAACGAAGACCTTTCTCTCTGTCTCTCTCTCACTGTCCACTCTGCCTGTCAAAAAATAAAAATAAAAAAAAATAAATAAAAGCATCTGGACTGTCGATATCTCTAATGGAACTATGTGTACTTGACATACTGCGATTGAGGCTGTTAGACCATCACCCTTCTGACCTAACTAAATTCTCTTATGCCATGAAAGACCTGTGTTTTGTTTTGTTTTGTTTTGTTTCCAGTTAAATGTTAAAGCCTGACCTTTTTTTCTGTCTAGTACTTGTTTCCTTCCTGGCCAGAAATTTTGCATTGAGTAACTTGTCAAGGGCTCTATTTAAATCCTTACATTTTGAAGATGGAAATTTTAGGCTTAAAGCTTATATATTCAAGACTTTTATCAACCAATGTGTCTCCTGAACTGGCTCATTGGAAATAGGCTGTAGGAACAATCTTGGAAATCATTGAAAGGTTTGATTATAAAGTAACAGCAAAATTATATTTCTTAATATTTAAAAAGTTGATAAATTCCTTTTGTTTCCTTTAAAAATCAGAACCAGGAACATTATTTCTACAAATTAGTCTGTGAATTTTTTATAAAGTCATTATCTTTTTTGAAAGATTTATTTATTTATTTGAAAGAGTTACACAGAGAGAGAAGGAGAGGCAGAGAGAGAGAGGTCTTCCATTTGTTAGGTCACTCCCCAACTGACTGCAATAACCAGAGTTGTGCTAATACGAAGCCAGGAGCCAGGAGCTTCTTCTGGGTCTCCAACATGGGTACAGGGGCCTAAGGACTTGAGCCATTTTCTACTGCTTTCCCAGGCCATAGCAGAGAGCTGGGTCAGAAGTGGAGCAGCCAGAACTTGAACCAGTACCCATATGGGATGCCGGCACTGCAGACCAGAGCATTAACCTACTGTGCCACAGCACTGATACCTAAAATTGTTCTTTTGGTTTTTAACTTCCTCACATGTATGTGCTTCAGGTGCAATAT